ACCATACGTCAAATATTTAATGACTGTTATCAGTATCAATTAGTTCTTGAATAAATTTAATACTATAAATCTACATTAATTTAGACTAAAAGAAAATTAGCTTCTGAGCTTGTCACTTTCTAAAAATCAACTTTACTGGAGTATAATTCACATATAATAAAATAAGCACATTTAAGTGAACAATGTGATGGATTTTAACGGTTACGTACATCCACGTAACTGTTACCACAGTCGAGATATAGAACAGTTCCATCACCTCAGAAAGTTGCCTGCTGACACTTTGTAGTCAGCCCCCAGGCAAAACAGCCACAAATCTGATTTCTATTACTATAGATTAAATTTGTGTCTGGCTTCTTTCACTTAGCATAATGTTTTTGAGATTCATTCATCCATTTTGTTAAGGGAATCAGTAATTTGTTCCTTTTTGTTGCTAACTAGTATTCCATTGCATGAAAATCTGAGCCTACTAACTTTAAAAAAATTTGTTTATGTCTTCTTGAAGTAGATTCTTTGTGGGAGGTATATTTTGAAATAACTGTGAATCTTAAGTATTCATTGAAGTGCACTTAGCAAGATAACAGTTTTAGATGTAGATGAATTTTATTTTCTTTTGTGTTTTGTATTTGAACTCTTAAAGTTATAATTAAAAATTAAAGTCATACATCTTATTGATTAATTTAAAAACTTTCCCAGCACTGGAAAAATGAGTGAAATCTCAAATAAAATATTCTTTGTATTTAAAAAAAACCAGAGCATTTATTTTCCAAAATAAAAAATAATCCCAGAGAAAATTAAAGTTATAGATATATTTTACATACTTCCTATTTGATATTTTTCTTTCAAATACTTTAGAGAGTCACTTTATTAGGCTATCTTATCCTGTAAAACGTATTTAATTCTTATTAATAAGAATTAGTATAAAATTAGATTGCCTCATAGAACAGATCAGTAGTTGCCAGTACTTTTTAAGGGGGCCAGGCACAGTGGCTGTAACCCAGCCACTCAGGAGGCTGAGGTGAGAGGAGCACTGGAGCCCAGAGAAGTTTGAGGCTACAGGGAACTATGATTGTGCCACTGTACTCCAGGCTGGCCAACAGAGTAAGACCCTATCTCTAAATTAAAAAAAAAGAAAACTTTTACGAGAAAGCAAGGAGGGAGTTCTGGGGGTGATGAAACTGTTCACCACAGCAGCAATAAAAATCTATCATATGTGTAGTACATATCGCTGTTTGTTACATAGCAGTAACACAGATGTATACATGTTTAAAATTTGGAGC